ATTTTTCCCATTGTTTCTTCTTAAATTGACTTAGGGTGGAAGCTATAAATAAACATACATTTATACATTCAGAATTTATTGGATAAAGTTTTATAATGTCTATTCCTAATTTTGAATGTGAATTGAAAGTTAAGTTAGTTGAATGCTTTATGCTTCTCCTTATAAACTAACCATATAGGTTTTATTCTGAATGTTGTTTTCAACTAATTTGCCATCTTCTGTCATCTAGTAAAGTAAATAACATCATTTTGTGGTTTGGGAAAAACCTTGCTATAAAAATGAGCACAGGTACATAGTTCTTTGGCAGTGAAAAAGGTCTTCAAAGACATATTTTTTTCAAGAAAATATTCATTTTTCATAAAAATGCAAATATTAACTATTCTAGTGAAATTTTTTCAAGAAAGTTTTGCTGATGTTTACTTTCAGAAAATATAGCTCTTTTATATTCTCTTTTAAAGCATCCAGCAAGATTCAAAAACTGCTTCATAAAATGCAAACCTTCAGAGACATTGTCCTATACTCTTCAAGCCTGCAATACGCTTTAGCATTTTCTATTTTTTAATGTTATTTTTATTTTCCATTCCTCTGTATCTTACTGTCTATCTTAGTTTTTATTTTCTGTTCATGCCATTTCTCTCTATATATGTATTTTTACCTCACGTTTTTAGGTCTCTATAGGTTGAATAGCACAAAGATTAGTTTTTCTATATCTTTTTCCTTATTCAGTTTTTCTATTTCCATCTCTCTGTATACCACATTCTGTCATTCTTTTTTTATATTTCTGTTTTACTTCACTTCTGTGTCCTCCTTAGGCCCAATTTGACATCTTTTTGTAGCTTTTAGAAAAGAAAAATAGTTATTTTCCATTATTTTATTTCTGTAATCACTGAAACCTATAAGCCAAGACATTTTGGAAGCAATTTTAGCTTAATGCCTTAAAATGAAAATGCCTTTTTAAAAACCAATTTCAACTGTCCTTAGAGATGCTAAAATTATTTTTAAATGTAGTGGATCAAATGATCTATTTAAAATAAGCATAGAGTGGAAAGAATCAGGGAATGGCTGGAGTCAAGGTATGCTACAAATAACTGGGGCAGTGGGAATGTTTCAGAATTGGGTTTCAACATTTTTTATTTGCTTAAGCTTGAAAGAGAAAGTAGAGTAAATGAATATTAGAGTAAATGGATAGAAATTTGGGGAAATCTGAGAGTTGTAGCTCTAATCTGCCTATGGTGATTTTTTTAGGGTCTCCAATTTAATGTTTATGTATCATGTGAATTTTTCATTCTATCATATAATGTATTCATGCTCACTTTTTAATTTAAAATGTTCCCAAATCTCCTAGTAAACTCATTGGTTCTACCAGAGACTTTTTCCTCCTGTGCCTTCTTATTCATTCAGCACTCTATTAAGTATCTCAAGAAGTGGTGCCCCAGTTTGATAAGCTCCGCACTGCAGCAAAAAAGTTGGGGTATCTGGTGGAGCTTGTTTACTATTTACTTCCTATCACTATTCCCAAAAGTGACTAGATATGACACTGCTAAAAGTCTGAATGGGGTAGATGGTGTTGGTAGCTGACTCTCTGATAAATGGCTGTCTTCAAATGCAATTGACTGAGTAGAGAGTGAGCCATTCTGAGTGAAGGTGTTTAAACAGAAGCAAAATATTATTGAGAACCTCATTGTGGGGTAAGACTGGATAAATGGTCTATCAAAAAGAATCTGGTTCTTATCCTAGTAGAATAAAAGGAGACTTTCATTTTCCTATCAGGCATTCTATTGTTAAATTGATCGTTTATATTAAGATGCAAAGACATGAAAAATTCTAAGATGGAGGACAGTGGCTCACACTTGTAACTTCAGCACTTTGGGAGACTGAGGCAGGTGAATTACTTGCTCAAGACCATTCTGGGCAACCTGGTGAATCTTCGTCTCTAAATAATGCAAAAATTAGCTGGGCATGGTGGTGTGCACCTGTAGACTCAGCTACTTTGGAGGCTGAGGTGGCAGGATATTTTGAGCCTAGGAGGTGGAGGTTGCATTGAGCTGAGACGGCACCATTGCACTCCAGCCTGGGCAACAGAGTGAGACCCTGTCTCAAAAAAAAAAAAAATCCAGTAGTATTATTGGGGTTCAATAAAACTAACAGAATAATAAACCAAGTAGTAGTAAACATTGGAGATAGTACTGTTGACTGTAAAATTTACTGGTGAAATAAATGAAACTGTAAAATAGAAAAATCATTGAAGTGCCTTGGTTTTATTGGAAATAAAACAATAGTTCTGACTAAAATATATGCACACAAAAACTCGATTGGAAATATATTGTCCTCTGGCTAGTGGTGTTGGGCAGAAAAAAATGAAGAGATGATGGGAAGAAGAAGGGCAGAAAAGAGCTGAGGATGGGGCTGAGAAGAGTTTTTACAATTTTTATCTTTTTTTCTGTTTTTGACCTGTTGAGCTGGATTCTTACTACCTCCTATTGCTGCTGGAGACTAATCAAATAGCCGAAGAAGCCCCAGGACCATTTTCAGCCATTCTTTTTTTCTACTACCATCTTGGCTACTGCTTATCTAGGGTTTCTATGGGAATCCATCTGGGTTCTTTCTTTGTTTATAACTCAAAAAAAAAAAAAAAAAAAAAAAAAAAAAAAAAAAAAAAAAAAAAAAAAAAAAACAGGCCAGACACGGTGGCTCACACCTGTAATCCCAGAACTTTGGGAGGCTGAGGAGGGGAGATTACGAAGTCAGGAAATCGAGACCATCCTGCCTAACACGGTGATATTCTGTCTCTATTAAAATACAAAAAATTAGTTGGGCGTGGTGGCGCGCCCCTGTAGTTCCAGCTACTCAGGAGGCTGAAGCAGGAGAATCACTTGAACCTGGGAGGCGGAAGTTGCAGTGAGCCAAGATTGCACAACTGCACTCCAGCCTGGCGACAGAGTAAGACTCCGTTAACAAACAAAAGACTCCGTCAAAAAACAAAACAAACAAACAAAGAAAAAACAAAATGAAACTCAAAAAGATAAGTTCTGAAGTTAGGAAAAATAGAAGTAATTTCCTTCTTTTTAAAATGCTGATGCCTCTAATACCTTGCTATCCAAGTTTACTCCATAGACCAGCAGCATAGAACTTGTTGGAAATTCAGAATCTCAGGACCTAGTTCGTTTTCCCGCTGCTGACAAAGTCATACCCCAAAATGGAAACAAAATAAGATTTAATTGGACTTACAGTTCTATATGGCTGAGAGGCCTCAGAATCATGGCAGGAGGCGAAAGACTCTCCTTATGTGGCAGCAAGGGGCAAGAGAAATGAGAGAGAAGCAAAAACGGAAACCCCTGATAAACGCATCAGATCTCGTGAGACTTATTTACCATCCTGAGACTAGCACGGGAAAGATCGGCCCCTCATGATTCATTTACCTCCCCAGGTCCCTCCCACAACACCTGGGAATTCTGGAAGAATTCAAGTTGAGATTTCGTGGGGACACAACCAAACCACATCACTGCTGAATCATAACCTTTATTTTAACGATATGCCCATGGGATTCGAATGCACGTTAATGTTTGAGAAGCACTGATCTAACACATTTGGTTTGCTTTCCCACAGGGTGTACTCTACTCCCAGGGTGCCAGTGATTTCCTGGAATGAGTTTAATTGAGGCTGTGCTCTCTCTTAAGTAATCCATTAATCCATTTCACAGCTAATCCTTATAACAAACCTTCAAGATACCTTAATCCTTATATTGCAGACGAGACAGGACAGGTTAAGTAACTTATTTAAGGTCATGCATCATAAATGGTGAAGATGTTGTACCTGGGTCTCAGTCTGAGTATTCTCAAGTACTTTGTTGTTGTTGTTCCTATATTATATTGTTTTTCGTTGAACTTACTCATGGGTAACTGTTTATGTATTGGGAGATGAAAGCCCACTTAAACATAGGGGCTGTAAAAGAGAGCCCTTTTGAGTATGTTAAAAGAAAAATGTCTTTCATTCAAAAATTATTTTAAATACTGTTTTACCCTTTCCATGGGATGAAGCAAAGAAGACAGAGTGAAGCACCATTGGAGAAACTTGGCGAAATGGGAGAACTCCATCCCGTCGTGCATACACTTCACCCTGCCCGTCAGCTGACTTGCATCTTGTTGCTGCTGGGGTAGGCCCCATATGTTCAAGCCTGTGTTGAACCAGGTGCTAAGAGCAGTACTGATTGTATTATGTTGAGACTGTCCATATGTCTCCATGCAAACTGTAGTTCAAAAGCTGTAAAACTATTTGCATTTTCATTTTATCGGATGGCTTTGAACAAAACCAGTGCCAATAAGGCTATTTTGATGCTTTATATTTGCCAAAAGACTGTAGAGCTTATGGCCATCAACGGATTATTAAGAAATACTTAATTTTCAGAATAGTTATATTTTCCAGGGATAGTTGCAAGTGAAGAAACCCCATAAAACACTGGAGATGACCTTGATTACCTTTGTTCTTGGAAAACCATATTTAGCTGGAAGAATTGGGGAGAGGCTGGAGGATTATGGGTGGGTTTAGCTTTGGGTTTGTAACCCACATGAACCTGTTTCAAGCTGGGTGACATCTAGTGTGGGCTGTGCACACTGTACAAATATTACTTAGGTAATAGATACCTAAAATGAGCAATGGATCAGGAGCATGAAGTGAACATGAGGCAATCCCAGTACCTTTAAGGTAGAACTGAGTGCCTAGTGGGGGAAGGGGATGCAGACAGTTTTCAGCTGGATAAGGATAGGGGAAGAATTGATATTCCTTGATTGATCTCGGGGCTGTTCTCACACTTGCAGGGGGCTCTGTTGGCTCATCCTTGTCAAAGGTGTATGAGTTCTCTTTCCTCTGCCCTGGCCAGCTTTTTCTAAAGTGATGACCTTGAGAACCTTCAAGCTTAGGACGTTTCAGAGCCGGGTTTGCCACCTGGGAGTGGGGCCTGATAGTGGCGTCCTGCTCAGTGGCACACTCCTCGAGTGCTCCATAGCCACTCTGTCCTTCCCTACTGCTCTCTTCTTGACGTTATCAGAGGACTGGGACTCGCGAGAGAGGACTCAAGGACCTCTAGGACCTATTAACTTGACAGCCCCGCCCCTCTGTTCAAGCCAGCCAAACTCGGAGAACTCAGAGTCATCCTCGAGAGTAAAGAAAGCTCTTAAGAGTTTTTTTTTTTTTTAACCTATTTTAAATGTCAGTCCAATATCCACGGGAGCGAGCGACAGCAGGTAATTAAAAGCAATTAGCTGTCCCCTGCCGGGAAGTTTGCCTTTCTCTGTCTTCCTCTTCCGTCCTTCCTCGTCCGTGAAAGCGGTGGAAGTGCTTTGCTCCGTAAGCAGCGGTGTACGCCGCCGAGCTGGCACAGGAATGAGGGATGGACTGAGCGGGGAGTCGCTCTCCTCCCACCGCCGCGCTGGCCGCGGGCGCAGAGGTGCTTCGGGCAGGCAGAGCGCGCCGCAGCGGCCGGAGCTGCGGCCCCAGGATCTCGCGGCGGGAGCTGTCCGGGGTGCTGACCGTCCCGTCCGCCGCCCGCCACCCGCCGCCAGCCCTGCGCGCCCTCCTGCACAGGACACCGCCAAGTAGGGCCTTTTCCCCATTCTCCGTCTGCCCGTCTTTCTCTTTTAATCCAGGGGCGTAGCGGCTGCAGGAAATCATGGTGTTCGCTCCAGGTACCCCGCACCTTGCTTTTTCACCAGGTGTCCAGGAGGGGAGCAGGGTAGAGGACCGAGAGGAGAGGGAGAAAAGGCCTTTACCTTTCGGCCTCATCTGCGCGTTTCGGAGTTCTGTCTGTGTTCGGGGGCGGGGGAGTGCCTCGGCGCGTCGCCTTCGCCCCTCTCCCCCGTCCCGCCCCAGCTGTCCTCTAACACCCTCCAGCCCTTCCTCTAACTCGTCCCGCTGCTCCTCTTCCCTCCTAGCTCCTCCAAACCCCATCCGAGCTCAGGCATCTTGAGAACTGGGACTTTGGCCAGCAGCACAGGCACCTACACGGGCGAGAGAGGAGCGGTGGGGCAGTGTAGTGGGCTTCGCGCTACTTTCGTGGGAATCTCCTTCACTGCTACTTCCTTCCCCCTCCGCAGAATTGGCAAAGTGACCTGGGTCTCCCTGGCCTTAGAGGAGAAGGAGGAGAAGTGGGCAAAGCCAAGGGGAGTAGGACGAAGGGCAGAGGAGCGATACTCCTTAAGGAATTGGCCCTGACACTCCGACCGGAGGTTGCACCACAGAGGCTGCTACTGCGGCGCCGCTGGAGGTTGCAGTGTCTTTTTGGAGCAGACAGTGGAGGACCTTGGTCCCTTTGCTGCTCTCCGTGGGTACAAATTGGCGAAGAGTCAGATTTGTCTGCGGTTGACCGGCTTACCGCCGTGTGCATGCGTGGGTATTTATTTGAGTCCGCCCTACTGGAGCAAGGGATGTATATCAGGGAGGCCAGGCTAAGCGAAAAAAGCGGGGAAAAGCGTGGTCATTGTGAATCTCCGACGCTTTTCCTAGGAGTAGATCCAGAGCATTTCTCTTTCATACATTTTAGGGTCTGTTTCCGTTAAAGACTACCGTGGAAAACAGGGAGTGGGGAAGGCTGGAGAGGCCTAGAACTCTCTAGCTTTGTTACAGGGGTCTTTAACTTGAAAGACTGGCATGCATTTGCTGCCGTTATGGGCCTCAGATGGCTGGGGAGAAAAGACATAATGTGTGTGTGTGTGTGTGTGTGTGTGTGTGTGTGTGTGTGTGTGTTTTTAACGGAAGAATGGAGTCTGGACTTCAAAAAATTCAATTAGCAAAACTTGAGAAGAGGAAGTTAGTCCCCTCCCCCTCCGTCTCAGGATGCCAGCTGGGGAGGGAGGGATGAGTTTCTGTAGGCTCTAGCTTTACCACAGGCAGTGGTTCTTAGGGGAACGCCTTAAAGGAATACCCAGGAGCTCTTCCCATGCCTATCCCAAATAACTCAAGGGAGGAAATTTTTCCATATAGTGAGGACATTCAATCAACACTGGAACAAGGAAGTTGGAAAACAGCTCTTTGCTGCATTTATACAGCACTTAACACTTAACAAAGCAGTTTCATGCTGCTATCTCATTTGATGTTCTAATTACCTTAGGAGTTAAGGAATATCATCCTGCTCTACCATCCCCAGGGAGGCTGGTTCCAGATAATCTTGCCAGTCTCAAATGGAGTTTTCTGACCTCATGTTTTGTATTTTTCTCCCAGAACCTTTCTTCCTGACAAAATGTCTTGCCGGTTTCAGGGGTAGATGCTTTGTGGTCCAAAGTCAGATGTAGCTAGAGACTCACCATATCCTTTTCTTTCCAAGGAAGGGAGAAACATGGTGTTGTCCAAGAGTTATGGCTAACTAGTCATTTTCTAAGAGCAAGATTGTGAGTGATGGCTAGTGTAATGAACAGTGGTGAATTTCTGGAGTGGAGTGGCTTGGTTTAAAGAGCTCACACTTTGGACAAGACTTTACTTTTCCATTTTGCTTTCAAGTTTTGTATTAGTGTTTTGCTCTGTATGGAAAGTAAAGGTTATTCATAACTGTCGCAGATGGCATAAATTGACCTGGATAGGATAGATACCAAAACCTCTGGGGAAACATTTTTCTTTTGCATCACTTCTTCAATTTTGGGGTTCTCTTGAAAAATCGTAAGCATTTTGGGACAAAAACAGGGTGCTAAAAATATTATGTCAACTTACCTTCTCATCTATGGATCATTTGTTTTCTAATTCATATAGTGACATGTACTATTCTTTAAGAAAAGCAGAACAATGAATTGCTTTTGAACTCTGCCGGATTTTCAGCACTGCAACCTCATTTCTTGCCTATTGCTTTTCTAAATCTCTATAATAAACTGGGAATCCAGATGTTTTATAATAGTTAAAGGAAATACACTCCTATCCCTTTCCTCCAAGCTAACCTAACACCCAGAAAGGGAAGAAACAGGGTCATGTGCTAAGATCACTCCAAAATTATTAAAAGGGTGTTATGTAAGCCAAGATGAATATAACAATAAATTAACAAGAAGCTATTCATAAAATTGGGTCAATGGGTACTGTGGTCTTTAAAATATGTTGTAGCTTTTTTGGATTTTAGTGCAGGAGAGCAAGAACCCTGAAGTATTGTTCAGAACTTCCCTCAGATGACAGGTCTGCCTTTGAATGATTCTCCTGGCTCTTTACCTTAAAGGCAAGCATGAAAAGTGACAGATATTTGTAGAACAAGTTCTAGTTCAGAAGTACAATGAAATGAGGGAGAATTAGAATCAGACTTTATTAGCCCTAATTAGGATTCAGTCTTACCATATGGCGTAGCATATCCTTACATTTTCTTGTTTCAGTTAGTCTATAGATTGTAAAGAATACAGCTTAAGTTGGACAGGTATTTGGGTTGTTTTCAGTTTGCATAGGGCAGACAGCAGTTCACTTCTATTTTTTCCTCTTTTTAAAATTATTAAGTCAACTATAATTTAGGAGAGTTTTAATTTTGTGCCTGACAGTTTTCAAACCCCTTAAAGGTAAGGGACATGGCTACTAATTTTTTAAGGACTTAATTACTTGAAGCCCATCAGTTATTTATGCTTCCCTTTAAAGGAACTATACAAAATTATTAATGGTTAAATGAGGTATAAAGTATACATATATATTAATTTCTCTTTAAGTACCATATGTACCTAAATAGAAGTTAAACTAAGCTAGGCTACATGACTTTGGCTAAAGACCAAAATGAGGCCCCTTGCTTCCTTTTCCTAAATTGCTTTATTCCTCCTCCTCCCATCCCAGTAAACTGAAGATAGAAAATTTCAAGAGCAATATGAGAAAGCTAAGAAGCAATACAACCAATACGGAGAAATATATTTGTACCCATGATACAAAACTGATCCAGGTTATTTAGGCTGTGGATATGGCAATATCTTCCATTCAGGAGGAAAAAACAGTTCTGGGAGGGGTTCCTTACTTCTAACACAGTACTCTTGGTATTGTGAGGAAATATCAAGGAATTATTACTAATTTATAGACAAAGTCAAAGTGGAACTAGAAGAAAAACCAGTGGCCATTGGTAGTAAACGTGAAAAAATACACAAGGGAATGTCAGAATATTTCTTGGCCTAATTCCAGGATGAGAAAAATGATATGTTCACAAATCCAAATGATTTTTCGGTGCCATGGTTCCACCCAAAGAATTTTAGACTCTGAACAATCAGTTTCCTTTTCCTAAATTCCTTCTCCCTTGAGGAAGAGCTAATAAGAAACAGAGTATGAGGTGGAAAGTGAGGGCAGAAGTTACATTATCCCTGGGCCATTCCCCACTTGCTTTCATGATTTGTATATAATTCAGGGATTAGTGTACCTTTCTTGTGGATAGGCCTAATATATACTTGATTTGCCTTCAAGTCAGGTGAATTGCCAGCATAAAAATAGTTCTTTTCTTGCATGAAAATTAGTCAAGGTATGATAACAAGGATTCATGGAGGAATAGAAATGTTGTAATTGTAAGCAAAAATCTAGCCTCTTGACATCTAAGCTCCATTGGAAGAATATTTAGTACCAATATTTCTAGAAGGAGCTTCCTAAGATATATAAGAAAATATTCATTGCAAGGTATTTATAACTTGTCTTTATTTGTATAAACTGCTTAATAAATTCCTGAGACATTGATAAATAAATAAATTATGTATCTGACAGTGAGGTTTACAATCTGCCAATACAATAAATTCTTTTCTGTTAGCCTAGTCTTTCTTTTTTAACTTCGATTTATGTATTATTTAAAAAATTTATATATGGTAAAATTGGCTCTTTTGGCATAGAGTTATATGAGTTTCAATGTATGTATATATTCATGTAATGACCACAAAACAGTTTCATTGAATCTAGTTTTTCTCTTGTAATACTCCTTTGTAGTCAGATCGTTCCCCCTTCCCCCTCACCCTGCCAACCTCTGGTGACCACAGCTCTCTTTTCTAACCCCATAGATTTACCTTTCCAGCCTGTTGTATAAATGAAATAATACCGACTTTTAGACCACTGGAGCTGTTTCAACCAAATCCCATGGATGGAGTGGCTTATAAATGACAGAAATTTATTTCTCACAGTTCTGGAGGCTGGAAGTCCAAGTCCAAGATGCTGGCAGATTCAATGTGTGGAGAGGGCCTGTTTTCTCATAGACAACACCTTCTCACTCTACCCTCATGTGACAGAAGGGCCAGGGGTCTTTCTCAGGCCTCTTTTATAAGGGCACAATCCT